TTTGATGATAGCATTGATATCTTTGCTGACTTAACTGTAAAACCAAAAGAAAAGTCCAAAAAGAAAGTGGAAGCCAAGTCTATATTTGATGATGATATGGGTAAGTTTGGTTACATCTTGATCTAGAGAAGAGAATCCTTACCTTTCCATCACTTGGTATTTTTCCTGCTACCTTTTCTTGGACCTTTTCTGGAAAATGCACCCTAGCAGGTTTCCTTCAGTGTAATCCCGAGTTAGGCTGAAGATAGGCAAGAGATGGACTAATTATTTTAATGAAGTAACTGTTTCCTATGATGGACATCAAAGAATTTTAAGGCACCCAGAGTTTGATGTTTAAGTATAATTTAACTTTTGTCTCAGTGCGCCTCACAAATCATCTGTGACACACCCTGATGTTATGAAAGGAGGATCGATCAGAAATGACCTCACGTGCTAAAATAGGCTGAGGGAACTGCCTTGGGTGTGACATGGTTGGTTGAGTCGGAGCTCCAGCTGGAGAGGGAGTGTCCATGGTTCTGTGTGAGAGGAGAGCAAGACTAGACCCAGGTGTTGGCTCAGACTTAGGCGTCGCATCTCACTGAGGGCTTTGGTGTTTGGGAAAAGCTGGTCTTCCTTCCATGGCAAAACTTGTACTTTGTTAGTAGACAAGGCAAATGCCCGAGAACCCTAAATATTAGACTTTTGATACATCCTGCGTTGGTAGAGAGCACTTGGGCTGAGGCCACATACACGTTTCCTACTCCCCCCATTGATCTAGACCTTGAGGCTAACTGGGAGATGGCTGGTGCTGCAGAGCCACACTGGCCCTGTGCCTCCAACAAGCCATGTGCTCTGTTTCCCCTACTTCCCACCACATGGAGTGCAGAAGAGAATTCATTATTTTAAATACAAAAAAAGTAATACATGCTTATTGTAATAGATTCATACAATTCAGAAAATGTAAAAAGTGAATAACCCCTAGAAGTAATAGTAACAGTTTGGTGTGTATCCTTTTGGACATAGTGGTATTAATATATGTTTGTGTACACATAAATATATACCCACCTTTTTTAAAAAGTAAGAATATACTTTACCTATTCTGCTCTTCCTTTTAGTCACTCAATGTCTTTTCACGTCAGTAAGTAGAGATCTCCTTTCTTGTTTTTAGTGGTGTGCAGGATTTCTTTGTATTTGGCGATCTCGATTGTTTGAAGGTTTCTCTATTACAAATAATGCTGTGGTCTTTAACAGTTGTGTACAGCTAACTTTATGTATACATGCTAAAATCATGGTTGGATACCTAACAGTAACATTACTGGATATGTAACATAATTAGGTAGGGCAAGCTTTTGAGTCAGTGAAACACTAAAACACTAATACAGTGAGTGACAGAGGCTTACAGTCTTACATTGAGATGCCTCAAATCAGTGCATTTATTCTGAAAGAAAAAGAATGGATCCTATATTGGATCTCCGTTTGCATATTTGTATTGCTCTTTTAAAACCCAATGTGAAAAAAATATATAAATAAGTCCATTGTCCCTGATGGTAGGGTCATGGGCTGGGTTTGGAGATCAAGTTACCCTTCCCTTTTTTCTGTCCTGCACACGCACACATATACTTTTGTAGCTGAAGAAATTGTGCTCCAAGAGAAACTTGTGTGTGATCATAAAACTTAATGAGTAACAGACCCAGGGCCAGAATCTAGGAGGCTTGAGTTCTAGATTCGTGTTTTGGGGTACTCCATACTGTTACCAGAGTTGGGTCTTTGGTGGTTTGCTTGCATGTGTCTTAAAAGCACCTTTCCCCAACCCTCTTCAGCAACTGTTTTTCTTTTTTCTTTCTAAAGATGACATCTTCTCCTCTGGTATCCAGACTAAGACAACCAAACCAAAAAGCCGATCTGCACAGGCAGCACCTGAACCAAGATCTGAACACAAGGTGTCCAACATCTTTGATGATCCCCTGAATGCCTTTGGAGGCCAGTAGAGCATAAAGGGTATCCACGTTACCCTTCAGCTACATTGTTGAGTTAGTGATGCTGCTGTATATGCTCATGGTCTTAACTGGATTACAAAAGGCAAATACTAGAACAGCTAGCTCATCTTTTACCCAATGTATTTAGTCCTTTTCTGCACTGGTTTAATCATGCTTAATACAACAAAACAAAAATAAATATTTCACAGTGGTTGGTTTGCTTTGTTTTTAAACCACAGTTTATTTAATTAGCTTTGGTGGGGCCATAATATGCTTCAGGGCGTGTAAAAGAAGAAATTTCTTTGTGGCTTTCATGGTTAGGCAGGGAATCTCAGAGGTAGCAAATGCCACATGACCAGGAATCTTTATTACATGGATGGGAACCCTAACTTAGGGCCTGGACAGGTGAAAGAGAAAAAAAAGGAGAGATTATACTTCATGAGTCTTGGCAATATGGGAGGGGTTTTTCACTGAATTCTGAAGGTGCCTTTGCATGTCCTCCAATGCAAGGTTTTGCAAACTATGCTCCCCCCAATCGGATTTTGTAAATAAAGTTTTAATTGGAACAACAGCACACTTATTGATTTACTTACTATTGCTGCTTTCATCCTACCTCCAGTGTAAGAGTTGAGTACTTATGGCTCATAAGAGTTGAGACTGGATGGCTCACAGAGCCTCAGATGTTTTCTGTCTGCCCCTTTACATAAACAGTTTGCTGACCATTGCTGTAAGGCATCCTTTTCCATCCTTGTCTTAGGGAAGCAGCAGAATGAACCTAGGTAATAGCAGGGGGAAGTGCTGAGGATAGACATGTCAGCTTATAGAGCAGCACTGCCCCATAGAATTCTGTAGTAATGAAAATATTCTTTATCTACTTCGTCAAAGACAGTAGCTACTAGCCACCTGGATGGCTGACCCCATTCTAGTCTGTGTTTTCTGGTGCTCTGTTTTACTGATGACTATTCAGCCTGTCACAAGGGCACAGTCTTGTAGGCTGCCTGGGTTGGTCTCAGAGATCCTGGAGCTACTAACTTCTAACTTGGGCACTGTAAGATGGAATGGGGAATTGCTCATACACAGAGTCAAAGATTTTGTACAGCTCCCATAGGTCAACCATTTGCCCAAGTCTGCTGTGAGAGTGACATGACAGACAAAGGCGCGTGCTAGTTGCCCACTCTTTCCCCTATTCATTTTATGCATCTTCCTTCTGTCCTTAGGTTATTTGTGCACATAGTTTCTTGCTCTAGGACCCAATGTGGGTCTGAGTATTTGTTAAATATGATTTTCTTTTGGAACAATTAAATATACTGATCAATCACTAGGATTGATTTCAAGGGATTCAGGAGACAATAGGGTTAGAAAATTTGCAAACTGCTACTTTGAGAGGCTTGAAAGGGGGAGAGAACTTATGCCAAAAAAATAAAAGTTCTTATGGTAGGAAATTTATTCAGTCTCCATGGTCTACCAGATAGGTAATGTAGTAATACTAATTTTACAAATGAAGCTAGAATCTGGAAGCAATGTGGAATAATGGAACGAGGTTGGATTTTTGTATTGTGTCCTAGATTTAAATCAGGCTTTCCTACTTAGAGCTGTTTGATTGTAGGCCACTTGTTATACCTTAATCAGCTTTTGTTTACTCCTTTGTAGAGGAGGGGTTTCAATACCAACTTTGCAGGATTGTGATGGGGAGAGAAGATGTAAAGACACTTGTCAACTATCTGGCTCTTGAAGAATGGTGATGATGATGATGATGGCCAGGTAATGGAACTTCCAGTATTGGGAGCCAAGGTTTTAAACACACCTGCCTGACTCTACGGTCCATGCTGTCAATTCTCTAGTGTGAATGAAGCGGGGTGGCAGGGATGAGAAACGCTAAGGTTTTTACTCAGTCTCCATCACAAGCACTGTTTTAGTGTCGGGAAAGCAAAGATGATTACACATCACAGCCCTGTCCTCAAGGGGCTCCAATCTAGTCAGCATTAAGCATATGTAGAGTTTGGTAAAGAACCGGTGGCAAGAGAGACTGGTGAATCAAAGCCTAGTGACTCACCATAGTCCCCATTGTATGCTCAATAGTTCGTTGAACTGTGGAGATAGGTTGGTGGTAGCGTCTCAGAAGAATGAGAGAGAACAGGAGACAGAGATTAGGTGTTTAGTTTCATCTTAGATTGGTCCCTCGGAGCCAGAAGTCGAGGATGAGTGAACCCCCAGTGAGAGCGAGATGACATTCTTTCTCAGCCGAATAACCCACCTAGGTTATTCGGTGGGTTATTCACAGTTAACCTCTGTGAAGGAGGTTCACAGAGTTGGAAAATCAGTAGGGGGAACGAGGCAGTAGACTCCCATGTTGGGTAGAAAGGCAGGCGTTGTCTTGAAGTCAGTTAGTTTACACCGCAGCTCAGCAGCTTGGAAACGAGCAGGAGGCGTCGCTGGGCTTACCCAACGCTGGGATTTGAGTCCAGGGTGCCTACTCCACTGCCTGGCCTACAGTCCTCAGTAAATTGGATGAGGACTACAGAAAGTTACCTGTTTTCGCCCTTGTCTTCAACCAGGCATGGTAATGCCCCCATTTTCCAGATGAGGCGATTGAGGCCAGAAACGTTAGGGGACGGTGAAGCCCAACGGGGATTTGTTCAGGGCCGGCTGGCCAGGAACACACTAGGAGTGCCCTGGTTCTGGAGAGGCCACAGACTGGACAGCCTCTGCCTGCATCGCTTATCCCCAGCAAATCAGGCTCCTGGAAGAGGATCTCCGGTGGGTCTCACGGAGGGCGCTCGGGCGGCAACCCCGCTGTTCCCAGCAGGCCGTGCGGCTGCCCTCCAGAAGCCCGCGTGGGCGCAAGTCAGTTGTCCAGTGTGGCTCGTAATAAAAGGTCAACATCCGGGCCTCGTAACCGACAACCTCCAGGGAACGCCGAGAAGGCCCCGGAGCCCCGGCAACCGCCCGCGTCCGGCGGCCAGGCCCTCCCTGCCTGCGCTGATTGGAGGGCGGCGAGAGCGCCGTCGAGCGATTGGTAGGCGGTGTCACAAAGGGGCGGGGCGCGGCGGCCGCGGAGCGTTTGTCGGTCAGTGTCGGCAGTGAAGCAGCTCGCGGGGCCGCGGGGCCCTATAGATCTGTGGGCGGGCGAGCGAGCGGACAAGGCTGCGGGTGAGGATGAGCGGGCAAACGGGCCGATGGGGGGGCGCCCGGGGCCGCGAGCCGCTGAGCCGGGCCGCGCTGCCACCGCCCGCCTTCTTGAGGCCGCAGTGGCGGCGGCCGCTCGGCGTTGGGCTACCGAGTAGCGTCCCTTGCCCGCCGCTCTCCGTGCGGCCCGACGCCGGCCGCCGCTGCCCCGGGACCGGCGCGGCGGGCTGTCTTTCCCCAGGACACACGCCCCTGCGTTTGTTCCCTTGGGCGCGACGCCAGCTCCCCGTGTACCCGGCTTTCCCTACGGGTGCTGATCTCCGAGTCGCAGTTGTCACGCCGACTGCTGTCCTCCAGATTCAGGCCCGTGGGTCTAGGGAGCCCGGGTTGGTCTTGGAGGAGCAAGGCTGCGCAGGTGACTCGGTGGCCTCAAGTGTGTAGGTACCTGGATGGTGTGAGGAGACTGGCTCTAAAATATTTCCCAATCCCTTTTCCACATCGACTCCCGACTTTTCACGTATCAGTAAATGTAGATCTGTGTCAGCATTTTTAATGGCAGCTTCGCATTCTGGGTATCTTTACGTTGGGGGAAAAGTTTCCACCGTAACTGCTCTTATGTAGCTAAGATTCTTTAGAGCAGAACGGAGCAGATTCCGAGTTACTGAAATGATGTATTCAGCCCTATTGCCTTGTTTACCTTTAACTTCCATTTCATCTTTGGAGTTGTGTTTTTAGAATTTTTTCAGAAGAGATGAGAGAAATGCTTTAGGAATTGATTTGGAAGTGTTTTTGGTGTTATTACTCTTTATAGCTAGATATATTTTTTAATTGTAAAATTCTGGAAATAACCTGCCCCCATTTTTTTTCCTTTTTCTTTCTTTTTTTTTTTTTTTTTTTTTTTTTT